ATTTTTTTAGTACGAAATATCAGCTTTCTAACGTCATCTAGCGGAGCTCGATCGGAGGTATACAATGCGCGATACAGATAAATAACTTCATCTAAAGAAAAAATAGTGGCATTATTTTTACTACACCTAATATATGACAACAAAAGTTGATAAGAACTCATAGAGCTTCTGAGGAAGTCACTGAAAAAGCTTCTTAAGGTATAAGCATACCGCTGAGCTCTATAAAAATTTTACTCCTTAAGGCATAAAACCTTTCATGAATATGGAATGGTAATTTAACTTTGCTCCAAATGTGTATATTCACCAAAACCCACACCGGTCGGAACGGAGAGATGACCTAAATTGTTTTAGTCATGCTCGTCTCATCGTTCCTTTGTATGCGAACTAGTCCTCCAGCTTTTCAGAAATTTCAATCAAACTTGGTACACAGATGTATTTTTAAACTGTATTGATCATTTGTCGAAACCCGCTAGATCGGTCGGCAATGATATATAATATAACTCGCATACAAGCCGGTGGTTTCGTTTTGCTTGCTTTTTTTTTATTTTAAGAGTAGTCACCTTGAGAACCCGAAAAAAGAGTTTTTTCAGTAACTTTTTTTTTTTAAAGGAAGGGAATAATTGCGGTAAACTAAACTTTTAGTCAATAATTTACTATATTTAGGCTTCAAAAAAAAAATTTACCAACAAAAAGATAGGAATTTTTCAATGTTGTGGTGAGTTTTCTGAAGCTGCTGCAGTCTAAGCTGGTGAAATGATGCCGGTGATGGAGGTCGCGCCATGCATTTGAAACACTCGAACAAAGTTTTTTTTTTTTAATTTTTATGAGTGTATTTTCTATTAGAACTAAAGAACTACCGAAGAAGCTGGAAAGTTGCAAGTCATTCGGGAAACACCATTAGGAGTTGAGCCAGATCCTGCAAGCCTTAAGGTTTCTAGATATTAAAGAATTAATTTCGACATATTTAACGCAAGTATAGTACTCATGATTAATCTCTTTATCGTATTTCCGTTCTTGTAGTATGAAGCTGATGTGCTGTGAATCTTGTAATTTTCCAAAAAAAAAAATGAACAAAAAATACTTCTCATGATTTTATTGTCTTTATTGCAACTCCATAAATTATGACATTCATAAAACCGCAATAATCATCTCACGTTTTCTATTATGGCAAAAAGAAAAAAGAGAAGAAAAATAAAAACACTTTCTTAAACCGCAATTCACTTATGATCTTTATGGTCTCATCACCCGACAATTGACAGAGATTTCGCCAACAAATTACGATCATAAAATGTTGAAACGGATGTGGGTTGGCAATGCAAAAAGGCAAATTTGTCCACGAAATGTATACGACAGAGGGTTTACTGATATTTTCGAACGACTATTTGCATAGGGCAAGCTTTTGCCAGTGAAGTGTTGTTAAATGCAGCGCAAGAAGCTTTTTAATAAATATTTTTTATTTTTATTTTTAAAAATTTTTTGTTGGCTTTTAAGTGTTGCGAACTGCAACGAAAGACAAACTTTATTTTTTCGAACTTCGAACTGTAAAAAGATTGCGAAAATGGCACACTCATACCACACCCACCCACTTTTCAGCCTCAAGTGAGTTGCGTTGAGGCGAGAGGGGGGAGAGTACTTACTACAGTAGTACTACTGCCAAACAAATAATCGCCAACTAAAAGTTGCTCCATGCTGCACTTGAGAGCGTGAATGCGTGCACTCCAGCACATTTTGTCTCGACGTGTCCAAGTGCTGCCACAGCTTGCAGTAGCAAAGCAGTGACTGACTGTGTGTCTGCCAAGTCACAGGCAAGTCTTAGACTGTTTATTTGTTTGTTTGCCTGCATACTTTTTGTCTACTCCCTGGCGCAGGCGGCCCGCCCTCCCAACTAACTGTCTGTGCAGCTAATAATGATGCAAATTTTCGCAAGAAATAGCATAAAGTGCAAACAAAAGATTGAAATAAAAGAAGGAAATCGTAGAAGCCATAAAAAGTGTATAAAAAATAAAATAATATAAAATAAAAAATTAAGCAAAAAACACTCTGCAGCCACTTGACACTAGCACTGGCGAGCGACTGACTGACTGAGCACTGACTCTTGGCTGCCCCTTTCACTTTTTCTTTGACAATGTGGAGCGATGTGGGACGCGGTGGTGTATTTAAAAACGTTTTGGTTAACTTTTTTGGTTGCGCTTTTTTATTGGAATACTGTTAAATAATAACAATTTTATTTTAATTTTTCTTTTATGATTTGTTTTATATATACATATGTATATACAAAAATATTTTTTCTTTTTTGTCATGACAGTCTTTTTGGGTGTATTTTTAGTGGTTTTTTTATTGCTTATTGTTTTTATTTTGTAAGTTTTTTTTTTGGCTGGCCACTTTTATTGTTATGCTCTTATTTTTCATGACAACTTTTGTTTCTTGTAAAAGTTTTTACTTTTTGATTTTATGCATTTTCCAAATTATTTTCTCGTAAGTTTTTCACTTGTCTCCAACTTACTGTACTTCCGTTGCTTCTTTCTTCATTCAGGCTTATCTTGCCATTTTTATGCTCAAAATTTTCAACATTTTTTATTGTCTTGCGATCAGCTGCTATTGTTTTTGTGTATATTTCCGTAGTGAATTTTTAGCAAAAAAAAAAAAATAATAAAAATCAGCAAACTGATTTTCATTGTCAATTTGTAGATTGTATGTATGCATGTATGTAAGTATTTATGAAAAAGCCATTTCAAGTTTTAAACTCTGCTGACAATGAGAATAAGAAAGTTGTGCAATTACTTAATTTATTTTTTTTTTGTCTAAGTTTTTATAATTTCAAAATGCAAATAAAAGGAGTAAATGAATTAAGTGAGTCTCGTAGAGCGAAGTGGAATTTATGAAAAAAAAAACTGAAATCTTTTTTGGGTAATCTTAAGAACTGAGATGTGCCTTAAGTTCTCAGTAATTAAAAAAAAATGGCACCATTGATTTCAACCTTAACTCAAGCAAGCAATTCCTTGTGTGCCCCATAATGATTTTAAAGATGTTCACGTCAAAAACTTTGCATTTTAGTCAAAAGCATCTAACGGCCTTGACATTGTCGATCTAAATCGAAAACCTGTTATAGCATGCAATGCCCTGAATGCGAGAATGATCTCTTCCACGATCTGTTACATTCGCCTGAAAACCCCGAAAAACACGAGAAAAAAAATTGATCAATTTAACCTTTCATACTTAAGAAGTGACATTAATATTGTATATAATCTAGCTCAGTGAGAAATTTTGTGGTCCATTTATGTATGTAAAACGGTGTCTTGAAAGACTGACGGATGATACAACAGATCAAAAAATTGGTCATAGAGATACGAAATTTTTAGTGTGGGTCCTGCTGATTATGTAAGCACACTAAGCATTTAAGACTGATTTGTTCGAAAGAAAAAACGAATTTGTTTTAAATCGTACATTAAACGATGAAGCGATGAATTCGGTACACAGGTGACTCATTGTCTGAGTAGATATAGGGAACACGTTTTCTTCGCAAAGTGGAACAAGAAACTTAGCTAGAAGTGATATGTTGCCAGTCAGTCAAGCGCTCCGAATTGAGAATACGTTCAGAAGAACCACGTTCTTAAATTGCATTTGCTTTACATCACATTAACCCTCCGTAAGAGGTACAAAGTACCTGCACAAGTAAGTGTGGCACTGTCAGTTATCCAATAATCCTTAACTTGAAAAGTTTTCGGAAGTTGATAAAAATAGTTTTTTTATAATCTAGCAGCATCTAAGTTTTTTGAAGAGATTAAATTTTGAAACTTCAATCCCTGCTGAATACAAAAACTCTGAACATAAAATCGAAAATTGTGCTAATTTGGACTGAAAAAGCAATTGAGGATATTACTTCTCTTTTGACGAACAAAAATTATATCTATAAGTCTCTCTTTACTCCCGTTCTGCAAATTATAATGTGTGGACGCCAGTTTCCGAGAGTAAGTTTTTGCGCGAGAATTATGGTCCATGAAACGATAATCTGTATCAGCGAATCAGGGACAGGCGCTTATGTGCCTCTGCGGGGTAGGAGTTCAAAAATTTTCCCGCGTTAAGGCATGCCTGTCGTAGGTTGGTTTTTATACCGGAACCACCTGGAACCAAAAAGTACTTTGAGGAATATTTTTGCGACTACAACACCAACAATAACAGGAACCTACGCTGGCTGCCGGGTCAGTCGTCTTCCCAGGGCTCCCGTGGCGGCCAAACCACAATTGGCTCGGGCAGCGGCATAAAGCACAGTTTCTTGTCGGCCAAATCGCACGAGATACTCGCTGGGCGCGCTGAGAAAAATAAATTGCAACAACAACAACAACAACAACAACAACAAATGCAACAAACCGCCAATAGTTAAAAAAACACTCTAGCTCTGTAAAAATTCGATACAGTATCCACGGGTGGAAGCAAGGGCAGAAGAAGAAGAAGAATATAAGAGACAGAAAGGTAAATCATATAGTGTTAGTAAATTGCTCCGAATGGGGAGTAAGATATGCTATGTTCTGAAAAAGCTTATTGAATTTTCATCGCAAATATTCCTTCGGAACAGGTACTAGGTATTCGCTTAGCCATGTCTAAGGAGGGAATCTTAAGACAGATATCACTTGAGAATGCTTCGAAAAACATATTTCTAAAATTTCGGGCTCAGTAAATTTAAATTGAATGTTGATTTCAAATATCTCAAAAATCTAATGTTTCGAATTTTAATTACTATTTTTACCCCGGGGAGACCAATTTAGACCTTAAAAAAAATAAATTAAAAGAACGAGAACAAAAGCAAAGTTTCAAATTAAAAAATCAATTTTAAACAACTTTTAAGCAGCCAAATCTCAATTCATTTTCACTTCAGCGCACATTAAATTCAACTAAAAATATTTTCGGCATATTATTACCACATTAATTTAATATCCACACCCGCAACCACACACTATGGCTAATATGGCGCTGCACCTTGCATAACAGCTGTGAGTACTTACCCCCTTGCATGGCCGTTCGTCGGAGAGCAGTCGCACAGCGCCACGTCCCAAAGCTTCACGTTTTCTTTGTGCCGAAAATATGCGCAGCTCCTTGCGCTCCTCATCGCTGAGTGAGTGGCAATAGCGCACCTACAAGAAAAAACAAACAGTAGATAAATGGAAATGTGAAGAAGAATCAAAAAAAGTAGTTTGAGTTGAAGAAAATGTGTAGGTAAAAGGTATGAGAGTAGCAGAAAATAGTAGTAAATTTTAATTAAAAATACACTTGCACGTCCTCAACGGTTGCGACAGCGCCGCGCAAGTTGAAGGCACAAGTCGAAGGTAAAGTCACAAGTCGAAGTCGCTGCTGAAGCTGAAGTTGAAGGCGCAAATATAATATGTTTGTACGTATATATATGTGCATACGTATGAACAATGAATGAAATGTCGAAAGTTTTTTAATCTTACAAGTGAAAAGGAAAAACTTCTGAAAGGTTTCATTTTCACATTTACACAATGCTTTTTAACTACCGCTGTTTGTGTTTTTTTAAATACTTATTTTCTTCTTCTTCTTTTTTTCTTCATATTAATTGTCTACTTCGAAAACACAATGCGACTTTGGGTTGCCATTGTTGAAGGCCGCCACCGCCATTTTCAGTCGCTTGGCAATGACTTTTTTTTCTTGCTTTTGTAGCCAATTTGTTCTTTTTCTTAATTTTAAATGTCTTTTCAGGCTTCTTTTTGATTGTTTGTACTGAGGAGTTGTGTGGGAGTTACTTATAGGAAGTGTTGTTCTCGTTCGGTTTACTTACCTCGTTATCTTGCGGCGGCAATTGATGTAGTAACTGCTTGACGCGATACTTTTCGCCGGCACTGTTGACATAGGGCACCTTATCGTCGGGTAGTTGTGAGAAGTAAAAACGTACCTGGAAGATGGCAGAAGAGAGGAAATTTAGATTAATTTTCATTTTTATTAATTTTAAGTTTAAAATGAAATGTATAATGAATTCAATTAAAGTTCGATATAAATAAATAATTTTTTTACTGGGATTCCAAGGGAGTAGCTTTCGAAATACAAAGGCTTTTTTTTGAATATCTTCGCATTTAAAATCTAAAACCCATTTTGAGCTATATGCTTTCCTTTATGTCCTTGGTTTGTATGTGAACCTGGCATAGGTTAAATTAAGATTGGTCCTACACAATGATGGGTTAAGCTTTGGGATTGCTCGCAATTAATACGAACACGAACACGCCACGATCAACGCTTGGACCTTCGAGTCGTCTCCCGGGCGGGATATATTGGTGGTATTGTTTTAACAATTACAAAGATGACATGCAAATTGGATGGACAGGTCTGTCCACTGACTAGAAACAGGCCGCTTTAATGAAGTTTTAATAAGAGAGAATGTCATGCTATTGTAGTCTATATAAAACTAGCTGTATCACTGTCCAGCCTACAGTTTATTCTAAGCCGCCGACGAACGGATGAAAAGCGTCGATGTCCCATGATGAGAAGCGACCGCGATTCGAAAAAAATCTGCATATTTTATATATATTTAAATGATTTTTATATTATTTTTGAAAATAGTTAGATTAAGACTCGAAACCAGAACCGGCTATTGGCATCGTAAACAGCTAGTGGCGGTAAATGGTGCCAGGATAGGCTACGAAGAACTCCCATTACCACGAGTATATAAGTGACTATATTTTTAGTAAAACTTTAACATTCGGTATGCAAACTTCTATCTTTGGCAGATGGGTCAACATGATAGAAGCTCGTAGTTTATTAACCTTGATGCGTTTTATCTCTAGAACTTAATATAGCTGGAGAAACGTTATAGTCGACGCATCTTCAAAAATTCGTTATCCTGCAAAGAATTTGAAATAGTAACAGAGAACTCTTAAATGAAATCATGAGAATATCAGAACGTTTCCTATTTGAGGCAATGTATTATAGAGCAGACTCAATCTTTCAGAATGCTCCCAAGCCTTTTTATTAAGTCCTTTGTTATTAGGTCAAATCTGCTTCGTTATCTTACTGTTAGATGTGGCTTTTTATCTATTCGTTTCTACTGTAATTGAAGTTCTCTTCAGATAGCTACTAATGGGCATGGTATAACCTCCGGCAAAAGGTAGTTTTGACTTGGCCATTACCCATCATTACCCACTTAGTTGGCCGAGAATTTACTTACGAGCCCAACAACTTGATTGATGACAGTGATGGAGTTTATAATTTACGTCAATAAGTTCATTCAGTAGTCTCGCGGTTCATTGAGCAATAATTGTAGATTGAGATAGTGTCATCCTCTCTCAGAATATGCCTCTCAAGAAAGTGCTATAGTGAACTGGGCTTGGCTTTTTTAATAAGGAAAAGGGATAGAGAAGATGATTCCAGCCTGGCGAGCCCAGTGATGGCCGTGACCGAGGAAAATGAGGAGATAGCAGAAGGATTACAGATAAGCAAAGAGTGAGCTGAAGAGATTCGGCAAGAATATTTTAAAAATTAATACGCGTTGGATTCCGCTAATACCCTCGTCGCTCGATAAGCAGCGACAAGTGAGGAGTTGCAAAGATTTTTTCGAGTTGTGCCAAGATGATCTGGATGAAATTTGCAGCCGCATTTTAACAGTTGATAAAACTTGGATTCGACCAAAAAGGAGTCGATTCAGTGGATAAAAAAGGGTAAAGGAAACCAAAAAACTGTAAAGTGGAAAAGTCGGCGTAGAAGATTATGGCTACCATTTTCTGGAATAGCGAACTAGGGAACTACAATGAATGGTCAGTAATACGCTAATTTGCTGAGTCAGATACGTGAGGCTGTCTTACAGAAGAGACATTGAAAATTAACGCGCAGAGTGCTGTTTCTTCAAGACGACACACCCGTTCGCACGGCACTGGTTGCGAGGGATGCCTTAAAAGCTACTGGACTGACCATCCACCCCATGGTTCGGTGCAGGCTCCCAGTGACTTTTTCGTTTCTTCAAATTTAAAAAGCGAGTTACGAGGACGAATATTTTCAGACGAGAGTGAGATGAAAGCGGCCTTATGAAACTATTTTGAAGAGAAATTTTAAGAATATTTTTTCAGTGGTATGAAGGCATGTGGAAAGTGCATTTCACTTGAAAAAAAAATTAAAACTATACATTCGTCTCATTAAATATTACGCTTTAGGTCGGTATTTAGCATGAAATAGTGGCATACTAGGTCACAAAAGGCTTGGATTGAGGGGAGCGAGCAATTCAACCGCAACTGCAAGAAAGTTGAAAAAAATGGAAAGGAAAACTTTTGTCTCCGTTGGATTTTGACTATTTTCGTTAAGAACAAGTGCTACGCTAATAATCCAAGTCGCTAATTTAGCTATAGAAAGACACATAATCAAAAATGCGTTGCGAATTTGGCGTGGCAGACAGAGCAGAACGTACTAATAAGAGGTCTTCCGCGGCGACCATATATATGAGGTGGTGTTCCATTCATAACCGGCATGTTGATGCATTTCACTGAAAACCAAGTTCAGCAAAAAGTTTTAATTGTATTTTCCTTATCAATTTTTGAATGCAAAGTTTCCGTTATATACAGCTTTAAAAGTAACCAACAATTGTGGGCTTTCGAGTAGATAAAAAAAATGTATTTCATATTTTTTTTTTACTATAAAAACAGCAATTAATCTAATCAAACATCAACCATAACGAAATTTATAGCATGGCACTTTTCTTTTTTACACAGCCAAGCCATAAAATCAAAGCTTCCGCAATTTGTTACACCACATTTCCTTCCTATTCCCACACACTGAAGAGAAAATGAAAATGTAAAGATAGAGAGAAGGTAAAAAACGGCAGCCAAGTAACAGCGAAATTAATCAAAATGTACACGCGGCATTCAAAACACTTTCACTAGCTGCACAACTAAACGAATACGCCGGCACTTGCAACGTCGAGCCGTCGTCTCTTGGTGCGTCTAAGAGCAATTAAATCGGTTTTGGTCGATTTTTATAAAATAATTAAAAAAAAAATACTCCACAACAGCAGCTATAGCCGCTCGAGCAGAGTCAGCGTGGCAGCCAATATATTTTGAAAGCTCTCTATTTAGTTCAAAGTGTCAGTGCACTACATGCACTCGCGCTTACTATCCATACAACCATACAAGTGGATAATCCCCAGCCAACCACTTTGGTCCTCGCCACATGCCTGCATGCCTCAGCGCCATATGTACGCGTATCGTCGCTGCTGCACCCCAAGCGACCGTTAACTTTTCATATGTCATCTATTTGGTCGACTTCTCCACCCGGACTATTCCAGCTGTGCAACATGCGAGACCGTTGTTATCTGTGTGCAGTAATCTGTGTGTAATAATCTGTGTGCATGTGTGCGAAACAGTTTGTTGGCCAACACGCCGTCACAAAACTATTTCGATAGCGTTGGACAATTTTTTTTCTTTCTTTCTCTGCAACCAACAACAGAGCGGTCTTCCAATTCACCGAAACTAGATATGCGGGCGCAGTTCGCCTGTGTGCATGTATGCATGTGTGTCTGAGATATATTTACAGCAAATATTTTGCGCATGAAAAATAAGTAAAATCGATGTATAAAACTGAAAAAATCAAAATCACAAAAAAGCCACACCAAAAATGTTATTAATTGCGGTTGTTCGCAGTCGGAAAATGTCGCTCGAATCACAGTGAAAACTGTAAGCTGATTATTAAACGGAGTGGACAACGTCAGTCGGTTGGTTGGTCTGCTGCAACGAATTTCGTTACACAAATATGTTTGCTCAGGCGAGCTGTGACAACATTGAGTGTTGTACTAATGATATTTCCGTCATTGCCTCGGGACAGGTGTGCGTTTAGGCGTAAAACCGTTGAAATCGTTGAAATCGTAAATGACTTGCTGAGTAATTGTTGTACTGCTCTTTAAAATGAACGCAGAGATTTTATTGAAAGTACATACTCACTGGTTTGCATAGAAAATAAGTAGATGTGCAGCAATGATACTGCCACGGAGCTTATGCTCTGCACAGTTGTCTGCTTCAGGGGGGCTTCGAGAACTTGAAAACTTCTCATGAGTGAAAGAAGTGAAAGTACTCGTATCAGTGAATAGCATTGAAATGCTTAGAACGAATAAAAGAATCGACATTTTGTGAATAAACCAATTTTAAATTCTTTTCAAAAGGTTAAAAATGTTTTTTTAATGGATTTTCAAAAATATTTTATATGTATTTTGGGGCTTTTAGACCATCCTCCTTCATCTCACAACTAGTTAGCGCGATTTACATTCTGTAGGAATTTGTCTATTTTTCGATTAAACTCATTATACAAACTGCATGTAGCAGGAGTCTTCGCTCTATTTCAAGCTCCAGCTCCATTTCATATGACTTTTCATGAAGAGCTAAAAGTCAAAAACAAAGCGCCAACAATATACTGCAGAATTTTGAGAAGCAACTGTTCACTAGAGGTGCGGATGCGAACGCATGGTGATTCTGGAGCGAGCTGCTATATGTAATGTGCTCCAACTTGTTCGGCATGGTTGTACATTGGGTCTGCGACGGTCGACATAGATACCAGCTTAAATGTTATATAAAACGAAGCTTTGGATAGGAGCTTCATATTAAAAACTATATTTAAGCGTAGAGCGTAAATTCTTGCATAACTTTGGGCGCTGGCTAATTGCTTCCTGTTGCTTGAGTTTTTCAATTCAGGCATGGAAATCTCAAATCATCAGCGTAGTGAGACGGCTAAAGTGCTTATCATTTGCGATGGAATTTACCTTCTTAAGGTCCAGATCATATATTTGATTATCTGCTCTGTTTGCGTCTTCCCATCTCCGCCTCCTTTGAGCAATATGCGATTGGCGTCTGCGAAGCGTCAGATGCCTGTTTATGCTACTGGGTGAGAGATCACGTTTTGATACGAGCCTTGTTCACATTCTCCCCCACCCGCATAGATAGGCTATGACTTCAGAACATACCAGTATTGTTCAATACTTTGAATGGGAAGATGATTCTGTCCAATAAGACTGGCATCGGCACTCAGTAAATGCGGCAAAGATAGAATCGGATAGACCCTAGTGCTTTTGTTGCAATACACACCGAGTGTTTACCCTAATTTACGAACCTCTAGTCATAATGTATATCATTAAGATTCTGTATTGTCACTACCGCAACATTCTCCAAAAAAGTACTTTGGGGTTTAGTTTTGCGGTTACAACAACCACAACAAGCTCAGATGAGTCCTTGGAATTTTGTGGTCTACATTTAAATATGCATTACTTAGGATATGAATAATTGTATGTTGCATGTTCTAGAGTTGGCAAATCAGTTAGCCTTTTAAATTTATGTGGCCGAAGGTAAAACCAAGAATGTTGCAGACCCAACAGAGAGTGACTAAAATTATGCTGCAAAGATATCCAAAGTTTCATTTTTCATACATTAAATGAGTATGTGGCGCAGCGAGGCGTTGGATGGTACAACCGGTTAATAATAAAATATACGAGAGGAACACCATTATACATACATAAATATAAAATTTAATATTACAATTATGCATTAGCATTTAGATTTCAACATTTCATACAATTTTGTCTTAATTTCAAAATTCAACAAAAATAAAATAAATAAAATAAATAATTATCGAAGTAAAAAGTTTATATCTACTAAAATCAGTTGATTGCCCAAATAATTGCTTAGCCAACAAATTGAATTAAGAAATCAGTTTATTATGTAATTGCCAAATTAATTTCTAGCGCTCAGGCCCACTTTATATCGATTCATTTAACTAAAACGAAATAAGTAATTATCCTCCAAATGACCAGCAGAAGCAGAAATAAATGTTTTTGGGCTTTGAAAAAAAAAAACACCAATATGTCTACGTACATGCAGACATTTTTGTAGATATGCACAGGCATATATGAGCAAACTGCAACACTAATTACATTAATCAACTCCAAATATCTTTAATTTCAAACGAAAAGCAATTATTTAGCAGCTTTTTGACTTGAGTGAAAATGAAATAAAAAAAAAACGTCAATTTTCAAAAGCAAAAAGATGTTATGCCAAAAATCCATGGCAATAATTTAAGATTACGAAAAATGGCCGGCGCGAGAAACAACCAACTTGTGTGCGGCAAAATAGCGCATTTAATTACCAACAATTTCGATCAAAAATCAATGATTGCTATCTTGAAAATGCTGTACAATTACGTGGTAAAACGCTGGAAAATTTCCTTACAAGCGAATGATTTTATTTTCCATTTTATGATCACTTTGGCTTGCGACTTGGCGTGGTGCGGTGCGGCGCAACGCGGCGTCGAATGAACACGAATTTTTACACATTAAACAAAAACATTTTTAGACCGTAGCATAATATTGCATATGACATTACAACAATAACAACAACAATAACAAAAACAAACCAAGAACAACAACAACAAAGTAACAACAATGAAAACAACAACAACAACAACAACGAAAACAACAGCAACAACAACAACAACAATGAAAACAACAACAACAACAACAACAACAACAACAACAACAACAACAACAACAACAACAACGAAAACAAAAACAATAACAACAAAGCAACAACATTAACAACAAAATAAATATAAAAGTGGCATGCAAGTAGTTGCAACTATTTAACGATCGAAACGAGAGTGAAGTTTTTGCAGAAAAAAGCAATTCAGAAAAATGAGCGCAACCAAAGCAAAAGTGGTAAAATTTTGTTTTCATTTTTATCAAAACACAAAAATAACATAAAAACACACGAACCACTTTGCGGCATGCCACATATTGAACTCGAAACGTGTGTGTTATTTTGTTGCAGCAAAAAAAAATTGCCAATAAAAAGTGAAAACGCGCCACACTCGATTGATGGTGGACTATAGAAAAGCGCTAACAAAAAAAAAAGAAATAAACAGAAAAAAAATAAATAAATAAAAGTTGCAGCGGAAAAAGTTCATAAAAGTCAATAGTAATTGTTGTTGGCGTCCATAGCCTTTTATAACCTAATCTGTTGACTCTCGCTGATGTGGCTAAATGATTGCTTTTACATGACTGAAATATGGAATATTGGTCAACAGCTCTGTAAATGCAACCATATATATCATATATTATATGTCAATATGTAAAACATATATATATATATATAGATATATATTAAATATATATTAATGTTCGAATTTCGAATTCAAAAAAAAAAAATCTCCCAAAATTAAGTTAGTTCCCAAGCCTACGATTCCCCCTACACTTTCCACACTCACCTGATCCGGTCGCAAGCCCGGCGGCACCCACGTATACTCTTCCAACGCACAGCCGCTATCATCGTCCGATTGCGAATTTCGTTGGAATTCCAGTTGTTGCTGGTGATGTTGGTGTTGATGATAAGCAGCCGACTTGTAGTTGGCCGTACGTAGTGGTGATGAAATCGAACTGAGTGGCAGCGTCGGCGGCGGTGCTTGACAGCGGCGCTGTAGTGGCGCTACAAAATGTTGTGGCGTCGTGCTGTTGCTGCTACCGCCACCATTACTTGTGCTGCTTGAAGATGCCTCCAAATTGCTGGCTGTAGTCGGTGTTGGTGTGGCCGCTGTGGAAGAATTGGGCGTGGCACGATTCAAATTGTTGAGTGTTGTTAGTGTAAGTACTGTTGGTTGTTGTGACTGTGATTGTCGCTGTTGCTGTTGCTGTTGCTGATGATGTGCGGGTGTAAAAGCGCTATTTGTTTGTGTTTGTTGCAAGTTAACTGCCTCTGGTTGCAACTGCTCATATTCTGGTAAGTGTCCACCTGTCGCCTCCAGTTGCAGCAATTCACTTTCGGTTTGTGTGTAGTAGTTGGTCGGCTGTTGCATGGTGACTTCGAGCAACAATTGTTGATGGGTCAATGAGGTGTGGGTAGAAGACGCTGAATGCTGTTGGGGCGGCTGGCTGGGTTCAGGTGTGCTGGGATCACTGTAATGAAAGAGAAAGAGCAAAATGCTTAATATAAAAATATAAATTTTTAAAATATATATGTTTTTGATTTAAAAATAATTAAAATGTAGGTCCATCGAAATGGTCGACGAATAAATAGAGGAGTCTCTTCGATAAGAACCTAAAAAAAACTAATGTAGATGAGAAAAATTGGTCACACCACCGGAGTAGCCTACCAGATTGAAGGCTAATCTTTAATATGTTTGTATGTTTTTTGAGAAGAAACTATTATGTACATACTTATATAAATAGACGGAAATAAAGAAGAATTCAAACTATTTAAATAAATGGTGACCCATCTAGCTGGGCTGCGAACCTCTTCTCTTAAACTTCTTCAGCACTTGGTTAAATTTTATTTCAGTGACGAGATTGCCCAAAGAGCAATTCGATACACTTGAAGGTTATAACTTCAGTAATCTTTCCGTTTGCAGATCTATCACCTTCATAATGAAGTTAGATGATCTTTAGCCCTTGAAAAGCTTAGGTGTTAATTGTACTCTCAGTGAACTTCGTCTATTTTTTTTCGACAGTGGCGGAACTTAAGCTATGAAATAGTAAAGATGCCACAGTTCATTTAGCATAGTGCTTGAGAGTTTCTTTCAGAACCAGTTTCTAGATACCGAAATTTTTCTTAGGACTTGAAAGGAGTAAACTGCTTGCCCACATGGGTTCGCTCAGTAAATTAGTAGCAGACGAGAAATGGCTCTTGGTACAAGAATATCGGCGATTATGAGTCTCCTTAAGGGATAACATTTATGGACTAAACACATGAGTAAGCTTCCAAGTATGAGGCTTTTGCAGAAGATATAGAGATGAAGAAACTCGTGCAGCCTTAAATAGGATCTCTGTTAATGTGCGAAGGTTTGAAGAACATGATTTAAGCTACTATTGGCTTGATTGGAAGAAGAGCGGCTCTGGAAGTCCACAGTGATGTTAAAGAGGCTCGGTGAACGAAATGTGATGATGTCGTATAAGCACTTCAAGCACACTGCAACTAGACAGTTTGGAGAGGATATCCGAACTTATTTAGTGAAAAGTAAGTTCGGCGGTCGCAATATCTGTTAGCATTGTGTGCGGCCAATTGAAAGGCCAGGATTCGAGTCTTGTTTCAAAAAAACATACAGAATTTATTTTTCTTCGGCTCAGAATGTCAAGCCCACCGAGTGAATTTGCCAACATGAAATAAATGCTCCTCATATGAAACCATCAGCGGTACGTAGGTGGCATAGAAAGAACTTTAGGCCCCTCCATTTGTTGGAAAATCATCAAGACGCAAAAAAGTTGGAAGAGGAGACGAACGCCAGTATATTATCTATATATGTATAGATATTCTAGAATTCTAAGTCCCTTAGTAGAGTTCTAAATACCCGGGTATGGAGCAGTGTGAACAGCTCGATAATCGTTCGCTGCTCAACTGCTCAAATAATAGTTTTTAAATTTCAATTTTTTTTGTAAAAATTTCTTTGGTATTTTAATGAGTTTTACACTTTGCAAAAATAAAATGAAAATTACAGAAGAAAAGTCTAAGAAAAAAAGTAAAAAAAAAAATATTCAAAATGCTCGAAAAAGCTCGAATTGCTCGAGGTCAAACTTGAAAATATTCAAACGTAATCTTTAGCTCTAACATATAGCATTATATATGTATGTAGGTTTGATAAACTAATCGCTTGTTAGTTTCAGCTTTCCAACTGCCGTTTATTTCAAGATCGATCATTTAAGGCATTATACAACAGAACTCGAGTCCTGGTACAACCAACATCGGGAACTAAAGAAATATAATAAAAATATTAGGTAAATTTTTCTGGTTGTGGTTGCCTCAAGACAGAGAATGTCAAACCCTTCGAGTGTATTTTTGGCATGAAATAAAAAACTCCTTAAAAAAGTCTATCAACCATTCGGAACCAGCTAAGAATAAACTATCCCTATCCCTCCATTTGTTGGAAAAAATATCAAGTCGCACACAATACATCGGAGGAGGATCTTTGGACTGAATATAACTATTATGCGAGTATATATAGTATTTCTCTCATACTTTAATTAAATCTTCAAATGGAATTAATTGAAATAAAATTTATAATGGAAAAATTCGTCGGTAGAAAGAGCAGAGTCGCATGGGGAATCAAGACCTAATCACCAGAAGATCAGTAATTTCCTATCAGGAAGCATATCTAGCCTCGAAGCCGCAACCGTCTTGATTATTTATTTGCTTGTAATTGGGAAGCTTCTGGGAATGTGATTCCGTCCCTTTCTTTGCCAACCATAAAGTCGTGCCATTAGACACAACTAGGGACACTAAATGAAGCACAGCCCCTCTCAACTAGATCTTTGTGGGGCTTACAAAGTTTCTTCCCAGTCCTTCGCGAGAGGAATATTTTAAGGCCAAAGTAATCCGTTTTTGGCTGCAAGGGCGAAAAATTATACATATATTCCTGAGAAAGCCCAAGAGGCAAGTGAAAATTCTATTAGCTTCGTTAGATGAATCGAGCTTTGTTTATAGAATTTTTTTTTTGTGTTTGCCCAAATTTTCATGAACTAATTATAGGAAACTTTGTTGTGTAACAGTGTCCATCCGGACACAAATTTGATGTTTTTCGATTTGATTGCAATTATTTTTTATAGTCATCTTGCTTAGTCTCAACTAACCTCCCAGGTCCGCTGGCATTCAGTTATTGCTGCAGACAATCCTACCTTTCAAATATGTTTGTTTGTATGAAAAGTTGAATCAATTTGCCTCCTTACACTAAAAGAAAAGCATTTTTTCTGCAAATAGAAATCATTGCAAAGTGCAATTTGTGAAAACGCATAGCACGAATACTTTCTACTTTTAGCCAGAGCGAAAATAGAATCTTCTACATTCGCCATGGAATGTAATGCAAAGCATAATTTTAATTTTTTCATTTTTTAATTTAAGTTTGCCATTTTAAGTCACAAGCAAAAGCAAGTTAAGACGTTTGTTGCACATAGTCGTGGTGCATGTTGCTGCTGCAGTACAAATGTTGCATGTAGTAAGCAACATGCAAACAATGCAATATTTTCTATACTAATGTGCATATGTGCACACAGATTTAGATACGTATGTATACAGATTTCACAAGCCAATTTGAAAAACGAAATTCTATTTTCTTATTTGCTTTTGATAGCATTTTGATTATGAGTCTGCACAGCTGCACATATACAAATGCCTATTCATATCTAACATATGCACATATGAATGTAAGTAAGAGTGCTGGCGTGGCGCATGTGCAACATACACTAAATGCAGTTGTGCATAAATACGGTTAAGCTGAAGCTCGCTGTGCTTGCGTGCTTTTGGCTAATTTGTATTTGGTCAGCGACGCGCCTCAGAAAACATGCGCAATTGCGCAGTGAAGCAAGTGGATTTGGTCAGATGTGGTCAAGTGGTGATTTTTCCCTGTTTATTTATTTACTACACTTTCTTGGCGCTGCTTACCTGTTGCTGTATTCGTTATTGCTATACTATTTATATTGCTGCTCTTGTGTTCAACCAATTTTATTGTGCATATATGGTAATGTGTGTGCGAGTGGCCATGGGAACTTTCTCTCTTTGGTATGTTGTGCATTTATTCTGAATTTATGATTCAAACATTTCTTACATTACCAAGAGGCCTGTGCTATATAAATATTTTATGAATATTTTTCAACTAACCAACGCAAAAAAAATTAACTGAAAAACATTAAAATAAATACATAAAGTAAAATTAAATAAAATAAAATAAAATAAAATAAAATAAAATAAAATAAAATAAAATAAAATAATATAAAATAAAATAAAATAAAATAAAATAAAATAAAATAAAATAAAATAAAATAATATAAAATAAAATAAAATAAAATAGAATAAAATTAAATTAAATTAAATTAAATAAAATTAAATAAAATTAAATAAAATAAAATAAAATTAAATTAAATTAAATTAAATTAAATTAAATTAAATTAAATTAAATTAAATAAAATAAAATAAAATAAAATAAAATTTAAAAAATTTAATAAAATAAAAACATATTTATGTTATTTAATTATTGTTTAAAAATATAGTAAAATAACATAAAAAACATAAGACTAAATAAAAAACAAAATATAATAATATAAAATAGAATTAAATAAAACAGAATACAATAAAATGTAACAAATTATAATGAAATAAAAAAAATTAAAAAAATTCAAATAATGTATAGTAAAACTGAATAAATTACAATAAACAAAAAAAGTGATATAAAATAGAAAGGAAAATAAAATTAAATATAAAAAAAAATAATATAAAATAAAATCAAACAAATAATAAAATAAAATTTTTATATTATTTAATAAAATAAAATTTAACAAAGTTTAATAAAACTAAAATAAATAAAATAAAAAGGCTTAAAAGTAATATAAAAGAAGCAAACAAATAAAATAAATTAAAATAAAATGAAGTAAAATAAAATTATATAAACCAAAATGAAACAAAATAAAAAGAAAAAATAATATTTATATAAATAAAGTAAAATAAAATGAAATTATGTATAAAATTTATTTAAAATAAAGTAAAGTTAACTAAAGTTAAATAAAATTTAGAAAAATAAAAGCACTTAAACTAAAATAAAATTAAATTTAGTTAAATAAAATTAAATTAGAATTTATTAATTAAAATATATAAAACAAATTAAAGTAAATAAAAAATTATAAGTAAAATAATATATATTTAAATAAAACAAAATAAAAAATTAAAATTAAACAAAATAAAACAATAATAAAGAAATAAAACAAAATTAAAAAGAGAAAAATAAAAACTTTTATTGAAATGAAATTAATTGATTTAAAATAAAATGAAATAAAAATCGAGTAAAACTGAAAAATAAATCAAGTAAAATTGAATTATGTTAAATTAGAATTAAATTACACTGTCTAGTGGTTGGTTCCATTAAAACTGAGCTCTCCCGCACTTCGCTAAACTTTCTTGCTTTGCTTTTATTAACGGT